GATAGAGTGGTGGTCTTACCTCCAGAGCTAAGCAAGATATCTGAAAGATAAACATGAATGGTGTATTTATAGACAAGATATGGGACTAGATAAAATTCTGCTTGGTCCAAAAAAAAAAAAACCAAATAAAGAATATTTACAAACACCTATTGGAGTATAGGCTATTTGAAGAACAGATTAAAGAAACAATGGTGACATGGGCGAGAGATCTAGGACACAACATCAATTTGGATCAATGGCAGCAGGTGTGGATGCGAAATAATAAAATTACATTGGCGTCATGATATAAAGAAAATTCGTATAAGATGATTTACAGATGGCATCTCCCTCCAGCAAGATTAGCCAAAATGTACAAAGGATACTCATCATTAGGTTGGAAATGTAAAAAAGAAAGGGGCACATATTTTCATGTTTGGTGGTTATGTAAGGAAGCGCAGGGATATTGGCGTATGGTTTGGGAATGGGTAACAGAAATGAATATGCAAAACATTCAGTATAAACCTGAGACATTGTTGCTAGGAATTCTTGAAAATAATGTTAGTAAAGAAGATATGTATTTATTTACTCATGTGGTTACAGTGGCAAGAATTGTATTCGCTCAAAATTGGAAAGCTACGGCTATACCTAGTGAGGAAATCTTAATTCATAAAATTATGCACTGTGCAGAATTAGATAGGTTAACTAAAAGACTCAAAAATCAGGATGAAACGGATTTTTACCAAATTTGGAACAAATTTTATAGTTGGTGGGCGGAAAATATGGAAGTCATTGTAATGAGAGATTAGAGATTAGAGTGATGTTATTGTATATTGTATAGGTTTTTTATTAGTAATTAATTGTGAATATGAACTGAGATGTATGTCAAATCTGATTTACCATGTTCAATGTTTTTAATTTTTGTTATTCAATAAAAAATATTAAAAAAAAGAAAGTTACAATGAACAACAAAAATAAAATGGCTACGGTTTCTTCTATTGTCACAATGCTGACATCCCCTTCATTGCACATGTTTAGAAAGTGACTGGACAACCATTTGTTTTTGATGTTTAATTTAAATCCCTACACTGAGCAGGGGATTAGACTTGATGACCATACTCTTCCTTTTCCATTTTATGATTCTAAAAAAAATAAAAGTGAGTTGCTTTTAGTGCTAAAGAAATGGACCAGAATCTTATTGGAATGTTGATTGTCTGACGTCAACAGGAAAAGGCAATTGGTGGAATTTACAAAACAGTGAGATAAGTGTGAGATGAAATTAACAGTGTCATTAAAACTATGGAAATATAAATTGTACAAATGCCTTAAGGGAATGCAAAGGGTAAAAAAGAAAAACAAATGGAGAACCTCTCTTTTTCTTCATCTATATAATTGATTTAATTTTCTTTTTTGATTATAAATAAAAGCATGATGATTGCCAGAAAAGCTTCAAGACTTGGTGAGGAAAGAAAAGGCTCATTGGAACAACCAAAAGCAAAGGGGATTGGATTACTCCAGAAGTACTACAGAGGATGTGTAGCATCCCAGACAATTCTGCAGACCATTATCATTGCTGGAAAGAATCTCTATTATAAAAATGAATGTCCTGTCTAGAATGATGTTTTTGTTTCAAACAATACCTATTTTCAAACAATAACTATTTGTTTCAAACAATATTGATGAACCATTTAAGTGATGGCAGAAGGATATCTAGTTTGTATGGCAAGAGTTACATATAAAGTCTTCAAGATGCAAAGGAACAAGGTGGATTAGGATTGCCTAATTTAAAACTGTAATTTGCAAACAGCTATTTGGTTTGGATAAAAAAGTAGATGTTACTGAGAAATAAAAGAATTTTAGAAGTGTACAATCTGAGATTTGGATGGCTTGTTTTTTATGTATAATAAAGCTAAGGCTAATTATATTTTAAAAATCTCTATGTTAGACATGCCATATTTATAATATGGAATAGATATAAACATAGACTGTGCCCAAAAGTACTTATAAGCAGGGCTTTTTTTTCTCAGAACGCCCAGAATGGAGTTTTGACACCTTTTTGGGATGGAACCTTGTAGGGTAGGCAAGGCGGGTTGTACGATGTGTGTGAGTTCCAGCACCTTTTTTTTTTTTTAAAAAAAAAAAAAGCACTGCTTATAAGAGTTTCAGCACAAGAAGCATTTTATAGGAAAAAAACAGCAGGTAAAGAGAAATGGTTAACTTGAAAATGTTAGATCATGGAGAATGTAAAAAAATCAGTGCAGAGGCACTGATTTTTCAGAGGTTTTTGTATACAGAGCTAAGAGAAAAATTTAAGGTAAATGACAAGACTTTTGGAAATGAACAACAAAAGACAAAATTTCAAGCTGAATTATATACAGAAGATGCAAAAACTCTTTCTGAAATTTGAAATGGCTGACAAACAAGTGAAAGAAGATATGACAAAATCAGCTAAGAATATTGGACACAATGTATTGTTGGAACAGTGGGAAAATGTGTTTGAAAGGACTGATATTCACATCGTTAATAACTAAAAAGAGAATTTCTATAAAATGCTGTATTGTTGGTATATGACTCCAGAAAAATTAGCCAGAATCTATACTTCAAATTTATATTGGAAATGTGAGTTATTTTATCATGCCTAATGAACTTGTAAAAAAGCCAGATTTGGGGTTTAAATACATATACTAATACAAACATTTTAAAGATTAAGATTTAACTGAAACCAGAACTTTTCTTGTTTGGATTAATTGTTAAGATAACAAGAAAAGAGCCAAGGAAGACTATTTTTATATATGATCTCTGCTAGGAGACTACTATACGCATAAAAATGGAAAGACTTTGATATATTCACAGTGAAATAATGCTTGCTGACAATAATGGAATTAGCAGAAATGGCAAACTTAACTTAGAGAAAAATTGACTATTTTATTAGTGACTGGAAATCCCTTATGAAATTTTTTGCTGAAAAAAGGAAAAGATAAACTTGTGATTTAGGGCTTGGATGATGATAGTTTATGGAAGAAGGAAATTACGATATAACCTTAGCGTGAAAGGTTGAAATATAAGTGTATTTTAACAGCTGTCAAAAGGATTGGAGTATCTTTTCTTTCCTTTTCTTATTTTCTATTTCTATTTTTCTTACTTATTCACTATTCTTCTTTAGTTTCTTTGTTTCTTTTGTAATATATGGAATGCTTTTATCTTGCAAAAATTTCTTCAATGAAATTTATATTAAAAGTATAATTGTAGTTAGCATTGATTTGCTTTGGAGACTTTTGAGCATGCTTTGTTATAGCAAACTTGTCTATGTCCCATCATTCACATTGAGAAAAATGCAAAATGTTCCTCATAATCAAATCAGTCTTTACAAGAGTTCTTCCTTTTCCTCTTTTTAAAAACAAGTTGTTCATGTCAAAGAAACAGTTTTTCAGAATCATTTATTTCTTCTTTTTAAAATATGGTTTTGTTAATCTGATTTAAATATAATGAATTTTATATTTTAATTATTTATGTATAATTATATTTTTTTGCATATACACTAACAAAAATATTGCATGAAGGGAAAACTTTTAAGTGCAGATTATTTAAAGACTATAGTAGAAAGCAGATGCTCAGATATCAACATCTCTCTAATGGTTTATGATCTCTAGTTTTATGGTCTGCTTTTTTCCCCCTCAATACACATCCTTATTTTTTCCAAATCTATTTAGAGAAAAAAAAAACCACTCCTAAGCCACTATTTTTGTTTGTTAAAAGGAATGAGATAAAATGCTGAAACTAATAAGACAGTTATTTGTGTTTTTGAAAAATGCTTAATAGAGATATCAAGTACCAATATATACAGAGCTAAACACATCAATTTATAACTCATAGCTTCTGAGATCATGAATTTTAAAGTGTGTTGTGGGATTGCAGCATTCTGAATTCAGAATATCTCATATATTTTGTAGAATTATTCTCTAATATTTGAGATTTTTTTCCAACTTCTCCTTAACTCATAACCACCAATTTTAAACATACTCAGTTTTGTAGCTACTGGGTAGGCTCAGTTATAGTACATAAAACTGTCCATTTCTCTCCCTCTGCCTCCCCACCTCTCATTCGGAATAAGACTTAAGAGGCTTCTAATAAAAGCTGCTCACCAGATTTTGCTTTTCCTGACAAATGAGTTTTAAACATCTAATCAGCTGTAGAGTGCCTTTTTCTTCTACAACTTGTTATGCTGCCTAATTATGGCTATTCCAACCTTCTTAATAGTGCTCTGGGACTTTAACCTGAATGAAGCTTTTGCATGTGGCAGCTGTGGAGAACTGGCAAGGGTAGATTTTCCTAGCCTGCTCTCCTCACATTTGACAGAGGCCCATGACTGAGTTCATGATGTAGAACACAAGTGTCAAACTCGATCACGTCACATGACGTATCATTACATATTGCAATTTTTTTTGGGCATGGTCTGTGTGTGACGCATCTGGCCTGTGGGCCACCAGTTTGACACCCCTGCTGTAGAAGGAATATTGAGCTACATGAGGGGAAAAAACTGTTTAGAAAGACAGAGAAACTATCTCTATCACAGAATTAATAAGCAGCTTGTATTGGGCTTCATATCACTCCTCCTTTGGTTTTCTTTCCTTTTGCTAATGATATGCCTGAAATGATTTTATGATTTAATGTTCAAGCAACTGATTTCTACTTAAGTGCCCATTTTAAAGCATATAAAGCAGGAAAAATGCAGGGTAGAAACCTGGGTTGAAGGGCCAAGACCATATTTTAAACTAGTACTTTGGGGTACCACTATCAAGGAAAAATAAAATGAACTTGATTTTAGTGGTTATTTTTGCCTCTTATATCTACTTGCCACCATAGATGGTATTTTAACTAAAACACAACCCTATCCTGAGGAGCCAAAAGGCAGTAGCTTGGCAAGTTTGTTCTGCTGTTTTGGGCTCTGGAAGTAGAGTACAGCAATGGGTGTGTGCAGAAGGCTGTATATCCAGTCTAGCAGAGGGCGTGCCTGCTCAGTCATTCACAGGAGAGCAGAGTGTGGAGAAAGAACAGCTGAGCTGACGACCGTATGGCAAGGCGGGCTCCCTAAGATTCTATATTCAACTGAGATTGTTTTGCTGCTGTTTGCTGTTTTTGCCTTGCTTTGTTTTTTAAAGTTTCAAAGGATAGGCAAGTGACATTCATCTTGGCACCACCATCTGCAACCATGCTTCACTCTCCACTGAAAACCGCACTGGCATATGAGTGCTTCCAAGATCAGGCCAATTCAACTTTAGCTTTGCCTTCAGATCACAAGTTGAAAACAAGAGGGACAGGAAAACAAAGGGTCCAGGAACAGGTGATGATGACTGTGAAGCGGCAGAAGCAAAAGTCCTCCCTTTCATCAGCATCAAATGCGGCAGGTCACTCCAACCGAGGTAAATATCTACTGCTGCTATCAGGGATGCTGGCTGAGGTGTGATAAATTTGGCTAATGTGGTCACTCCATAGAATGCCATTGCATATTTTAGGATAATTGGAATTCACTCAAAACCTTTAAGTAGTTGCTTTTAGTTATGTCTGCAGAATTGTGTGCTGAACATTGGAGGAAAATCTTGCACTGTCTGGTAGGATGAGCACTGAGCATTCACATAAGAGTTTCGAGTCCTTGGTTTTATGCTTTGCAGTTTAATGTTTGTGATGTTGCAGAAGCTCCAAAGCAGCTCCAGTTAAATTTATTGACACTGAAGGTTTCAGTCCGGACTGTGCAAGGTGATTCTGAGTGTGTGACTAAGTGCAGATGCTTCAGTTTGAAATAGAAAGTTGGGAGAATCAAAATCTTCTTAACTTTTTCAATAACAAGGTTCTGCAATATTATTGTACTTTGGCTGGAATGAAATCAATGGGATAATTATAGGCACAGTTGGATTGGTTAAGCTCTTCTAGATCCCACCAACTTCAACAGAATTCCCAAGTTTAATACTGTCCATTACAGTTAATAAAAAACTATAATGCATAATTTTATTTCAGTCTTAGGTTCTGAAACTGTGATTTCAACTGGACTTTAAATTGGTTTGTTTACATGAGAAAAAGTATGTGTATACTGTACAAAAATGTTGCATAGTTGTATGTCTTTGGATGTATTGCTGACAGTCAGATTAAATGATTTTGATTCTATTACTTCTTTTGACCATTCTCTAAATACTTTTTAACATTCCATTGATATAGGAATTTTATATCTCATGTTTTATGTCTATGAAACATGATCAGTAAAACCATAGGGGAAAAGCTTTGTTGCCCAGAAAGCACACAATTAATAATAGTCTGTACTGTTCTTTTTTTATGTATGCCTCGTTCTAATTATAGACCAAACCTGAAAACCTGGTCTTTGCTTCCCAGACTCCAGACAGTTCTGCTTAGACTTGGAAATGTAAAGTCTAATTCTGGTGCACATTGATACATTGTCTCCTGTAATTTGAAGCTATGAAGTTTCATGGTTTCAGGCTTTTTTAAAATATATATTTAAAATATAAATTTTAAAATAAATTTTAAAATATTTATTTATGGCAGTGCATTGTCCTGGTTCAAATATATATTTATAAGGTAATATAAATTTTCATCACTCAAATTGTGAAGAGCTTATGCTTAAGTCTTTTCACACTGCTGATCACAAATACAAAATTAAGACAAGCAATAGTGTTAATTGAAATCCTAGTAAAAGGCAGCCTGCTTAATGTTAGCATTAATTGCTGGTGATCCGCAGGGAAAGCCAACAAGATACTATTTTCTACACCACAGGACTGTTAGCTGAATAAAATAAAGTTTTGTAACATTTGCCTGAATACGGGATTGGCTGCCTTCTCAGACTTGAGAGGTTTCCCCCTGCCAGAAATGTCACCTTGGGAATTTAAATTTATTTTTGGAAGGAAAACTAAGAATCTATGCCTTTTAATACTTGATGATAATTAGTCATCTTGTTCTTTAATTTTCAGGATTTTCTAAAACACTTTAGCCATTCTCGTTAAAAGACAATTTAATCTCTATTCAAGTCATTTTGCGAGTGGAGAGTTCTGATTTTAAATCTTATTTGTTTCTGATTTCTCAGTAGCACTATCCTGAACTGGACAGAAGATGTGTTCGATCTTCTGCAACTATAGCTTCAAATAATGCTTCCTTGGATTAATGTATTCCACTCAATACTGTGTTTTCTGAAGTATAAAACAAGGAATTTCTGATTAAACAAAGTCTATGGTAGGCCTTGAGTTCTGTGTGGTTGTTTTAATGAGCTGGAACATAGTATTTAGTGTTTTACAAGAAGATATTTTTTTGTTCAAGAGCCAATTCTGTTGATTTAGAGAACAGGGCATTTTCTTTATTTCAATATTCTTGCTGAAGCAGAAATAACTTCTGAAGAAAGTTGCTAAATAGCATAAAAGTGATGGGGAAGTAGCAATTCAGCAAGACATGGAAGAGGAAAGGAGTTTCTTGAATTGTTTTACTTTTTCATTTCATAGATGCTACCTTTGTATGTGAACTCCTTATTTTGGCTAAAAACAACAACAATGAATAGAAGTATCATTTTGCTCATAGTAGATGCTCTACATTCAGTGAAACTTCCCAGCACTTTTACTGGGAATGTGACAGTTTCTTACCTGAAACCATTCATCCAAAAACATATTAATCCCAAACTGAAGAAAAATGTGATTCATTCTGGTTATGAATATCAAACTTTTTATTATTTGCTTATTCTAGATGAGCAACAGTGCAGGATTACACACAGAATCAAATATCAGGTGTTGTCAGTCTTGGCTTTGGGTGGCCGGATTATCTCGGAGCTTACCTTTTGAGGTAATATTGTGTCAGATAGCAAAATTACACACAACACAGATTCTTTCTTCTTCTTCTTCTTCTTCTTCTTCTTCTTCTTCTTCTTCTTCTTCTTCTTCTTCTTCTTCTTCTTCTTCTTCTTCTTCTTCTTCTTCTTCTTCTTCTTCTTCTTCTTCTTCTTCTCCTCTCCCCCACCCCTCTTTTCCAAATGAGTAACAGACCTTGAAAACTAAAATCAGAAGCAGATCAAAGGGAAGGATCCTTAAACTAAAACAATCCTTTGTTTGCTCCACTGAAATTGTGAAATTCACATTCCCAGTTTCTTTTCTCTCTGGCCTGGTATGTTAAAAGAGGGGATCCATGCATATTTCCCCATGGGGAACTGAACAGGGGTTGTGGGATAGGGTGGGGAAGGCTTTAAACAGCCTCATTCTCATCACTATTCTACCTACAAATACCTATACCAATGTAATGAATCACCGGTATTGGGTGCTTGTCAAGGCTCATGCATTGATCTCTTGCTAATCCTGGAAACCTTCTGTTTTTGGGTGTGCATCCTTCAGCTTATTGTCATTGCATTTGATTCCTGTTCCTCCCCAACCTGCATAGATATTGACCTAACTGTGAGACTTTCCCCAAATCTGAATTCAGGCTTCTAAAACAAAAGGCTGAAAAAGGAGACAGAGACAGAGAGACAGAGACAGGAAGAGATAGAATTCTATAGTACAATTCTTATTTTCAGCTTTGTTAGAGGACATTTTGGTGTCTGCTTCTCTATAAAAAGTCACCAAGTTAAAAGCCATTTGGGGCACAATTAGAAAATTATAATCTGATATTACAACAAGAACACTTTTTTTTTTAGTAAAGTTTCCACTATATTTTTTTAAGGAGCATTTGGAAGATGTTGGGAGAAAAGTATAATTCTCTTAGTCATATAATAAACTTACAATTTTTATCTCAGTTGGAAAATTGCAGATAATTTTTTGGGGGGGAGAATGGAATGTTGTGGGCTAAAGAGTATTCAGACTTCAGAACAATTAATTGCCAATTATATCTTTCAATTATTTGACTTATTGCAAAAGGAATTTAGATTGTCAAAACCTATGAAATACTGAATATAGGTACCGGTATATGTATATATGTATACACACACACACACACATACACAGAGAGAGAGAGAGAGAGAGAGAGAGAGAGAGAGAGAGAGAGAGAGAGAGATGGACTGATATATATATAAAATATCTGATTTCTTAATTTGTTCAAGAAGCACAATGAGCATCTGGAATTCTCTAGTTATTAGGAAAATATTTCAGATTATTCCAAATCTATATCTTTTTATTGACAATTAAAGTGTATAGTTATTTTTTTTAATTTTTTGCAAGAACTTTGGAATGATGAGTTGGAATAACCTACATACAAATCAAAACCAATCAATGGCTAAGAGTCTTTAAAATGTTCATTTTTATGCAGAATTTAGTCTATATATGTTTCTTGTCAGTAGTTACATTAATGCGGTAAGCATGTTTTTTCATCAAACTTGCATTTTGCAATTATTTTATATTAATAAGCATTACTAAGCATTAATTTTGTACTCAACAGTAATTTATTAAAAAGAAGAATAAATGTGACAAATATTCAGTGATACACAAAAAAATATGCTCAATACATTCTAAAAATAGCAGTTGTTCTCTCTTTTCCACATAAAAGAACAATAAAAGAATAATATAATATATAGACCAGATTTAAGATAAATTATAACATATATCTTCATAATTGGCTTTATCTTAATCTAAGTCAGTATGGACTATAAAACAGATTGAAAATGGGTAGATTTGTGATGGCAAAGTAACTTATTTTTAGGTAGTTACAATAAAGGTATAGAGAATAAAAGAGGATTTTGCATTTTTATAGTTAGATAAAATATAAAAATAAAATAAAAATATGTCAATAATAGAGATATAAAATATAACATTTTACATAGTTATAAAAGAATATCAAGATAAATAATGTGGAATGATGTTAAATAGTACAAAGGCAAAAGTTTTTAAAAAGTTTTTATTTTTTCTCCTTTTTAGCTAGTCACATGTTTTGATAATATTGCTAACTTTTGTTAGATTACCAATCCATAATTAGAGCATATTGAAGTCACTTTGTATATTACACTCTGGTAATTTTGGTTCAGCATATTTCTTTTCTTACCGTCAAAATGTAAACTGATATTCAGTAATCACCCTTTACTGTTACATACCAACAACATATGTGAGTTTAAGCATATTGTTGTCATGCATATAATCTGGCCCCAAATAAACTGTTTCTCTGCTTCTTTGATTTTACAGAATGAGCTAAACTCATGCTTGAATCTCAACTATTGAAATAAATGGAGGTTAAATGCCATTATGTTTTGTTGATAAGGAGCAATATCTCTTGTTTTCTCGACCAACTCCTTTTTTTCTGTGTAGTCTATGTATACATTGTAATGCAATATTTATGCATGCATTATAAGGCGTAAAACAGATCAAAATTATATACAAATTGACATATAAAATCAGCATTTTTCTAGGGACTGTTTTTTCATTGTACAGATTAGCATGATTTTAGTGCTGGACAGAGA